CCAGGCTGGAGTGCAATGGCGTGATCTCGGCTCACAGCAACCTCTGCCTCCAGGGTTCAAGTGATTCTCCTGCCTCAGCCTCCCAAGTAGCTGGGATTACAGGCATGTGCCACCACGCCCGACTAATTTTGTATTTTTAGTAGAGATGGGGTTTCTCCATGTTGATCATGGTCTCAAACTCCCAACCTCAGGTGATCCACCTGCCTCAGCCTCCCAAAGTGCTAGGATTATAGATGTGAGCCACCATGCCTGGCATATAGCCAATTGTTTTACTTCTACCCATTCTAATTTCAACTCTAGTGAATTTTATAAATGTAAACAAATATGTCACTTTTCTGCTTAAAACCCTTCAGTGCTAATGCTCCCCACTCTCTTGGCTGACAGGACTTTGCAAAAAGCCCCAGACACCTCCACACGCTATGCTCCTTCCTAAAATGCACGATGTTCTTTCTCATCTTCTGACCTAACCCTGGGGTGTCTATGCCTCAGCCCCTCCCCTACCACCATCTCCTGCTGCCAGCCCTTCACCCAGACAACTCCTCACTCAACCTTCATGTCTATAAGCCCTTCTTTAAATAAGCTTTTCCTGACCAACCAACACCAGCTACATCCTCCTCGTTTTTCCTCCTCTAAGACTGTACCCACCCCACCCCCAAAGTACTTACCATGCTCCTATAATTTATTAATTTATGGAGCAAAATTCATAATAATTATTATTATCCCAAACTAGATTGTTATCCCCAACCTGAATGGGATCCATGGGAATAAGAAACTGTCTACCTTAGGTGCTAACACAGGGCCTGGAAACATACTCAGTGAGTGAATGCATCAAACTTATAGTAGTTACCACCACATAGCCCAAATTTAATAGCCTCTCCTCACTCTCTGTTTCCAGCCTCTCCAAGTTCCAGTCTATCCGCAGCAAGAGTTTTCAGTGATTTAGTTTCATAGAACCTAGGACAGACATACAGTTGGCCCTCTGCATCCATGGGTAGATTCAAGCAACGGTGTAGATATAAAATATTGGAGCGGGGATGGCTGTGTCTACACTAAGCATGTACAGAGGTTTTTTTTGTCATTATTCCCTAAACAATACAGTATAACAACTATTTACATAGCATTACAGATGTGTAATACCTACATTGTAGTGCTATTATAAATAATCTAGAGATATTTAAAGTGTAAAGGAGAGTATGCATAGGTCATATGCAAACACTATACCATTTTATATAAGGGACTTGAGCATCTGTGGATTTTTCTATCTTTGGGGGTCCTGGAACCAGTTCCCCACAGACACCAAGGGACAATTCTACTTCCTTATTCCCATGGGTCTCAATCTAGTTGGAGATGACAAACACTCAGGTAAATCATACAGTGGATGGTAACTCTTGAATACTCTCAATGATTCCCTCCCCAGTGTAGAGAGGAAAAAATCTCTTAGCCAGTTATCCAAGGTGTTTAATAATCTAGTCCACTCTTCCCACGTAACCTCTCCGCACTTAACAGTAAGAATTTCCTACCCTGGAAAGACAGGTCTCCTCGTGGTCCCTTAAACACTCTCAACTCATTCCAATGTCATGCCTTTGTGCTGCTCCCACTGCCAAATACACTCCTCCTTTTCCCTGCTACTCATCCAAACATAGCCACGCCTTCTAGATCTAGCAGATCCTGCCCCTTCACCAGGCTTCTCCCATAGCTCTCTCAACTCTCTGAATCCTCAGAGATCTAATCTGGATCACGCTTTGTGGCACTTGGTAAAGCGCCGACATTCTGAGCTATGCTTTCATATCTCACCCTATACTTTTTCCCTTTTGCACCTAACACACAGGAGTGTGAGGGAGATTTCTAGACAAGGCAGTAAAGCACTGTTTCCCTGCCTGACAATTATATTCATTCATTTAGTCAATAAATGCCAATTGGCCGCATTCTCTGTGCAGACACCTACTATGTGTAGGTCAGTAAGAGACAGTTTTAAGAACATTCTCTACAGGGTTGGCAGCTGTGGCTTGACTCCTCTTCCCTCTACTCTCATTCCAGATAATTTAAATAGTTAACTAATATACTAAAGTAACAAAGTTTAGAAACACAAAGTCTATTACCAATTTTTTTTTTTTAATTTTGAGAGGGGGTCTCACTGTTTTACCAGGCTGGAGTGCAGTGGTGCCATCTTGGCTCACTGCAACCTCTGCCTCCCAGGTTCAAGCGATTCTCCTGCCTCAGCCTCCCGAGTAGCTGGGACTACAGGTGTGTACCACCACGCCCAGCTAAGTTCTGTATTTTTTAGTAATTTTAGTATTTTTAGTTTCACCATGTTGGCCAGGATGGTCTTGATCTCTTGACCTTGTGATCTGCCCACCTCAGCCTCCCAAAGTGCTGGGATATCACCCGCCCGGCCTATTATCAATTGTATGTTAAATAAGTTAACTACTCAGCTTTGGTAACCTCTGAAAGATAGAGACACTATGACTAACCTTCCAAGGCCACTGGTGAGCATGAGAAAGCATTATTCACATGTTCACATTTTTATCTTTTATTATTAGGACAATAATGATAAAGAATATCCATTCCAACTCATGTAGGCAGAAATCACTGGTTGACACAGATTTAGACATTTTAAAAGGAAACAAAGTGAAAGACTTTATTTTCAAAACCATAACCAAATAACTATAACTTAAATGAGAACTTTTCATCAGATAGTTATTTTTGGTTATTACTAAAAAATAAAAAATTGCACAAAGTTTGTGAGTAACAGGCCACCTACCTGCGGCTTGGTAAAATTTTTGTCGGAACACCATTGAACAAAATGTTGTTGTGCAGCATACAAACTCTTCGCATCTGTCTTCTTACAGTATACTCGAATCAGCTGCTCTGCAAATCTCTCTGGCAGAAGTCGTGAAACCTTTTTTAAAATAAAAAGATTTCACTATCACCTTGAATTCACACATTGGAGATATCAGTGGGTGCCTAGGCTCCTAACTATTCATTTTTTTTTTTTTTTTTGAGACAAGGTCTCCCTCTATCACCCAGGCTGGAGAGCAGTGGCACAATCACACCTCACCGAAACCTCAACCTCCCAGGCTCAAGCAATCCTCCCACCTCAGCCTCCTAAAAGCTGGGACTACAGGCATGAGCCACCTAATTTTTTTAGTTTTTGCAGAGATGGGATCTCACTTTGTTGGCCAGGCTGATCTTAAACTCTTGTCCTCAAGTAATCCTCTCGCTTCAGCCTTCCAAAGTACTGGGATTACAGGCATGAGCCACCATGCCAGGCCCACTTTAATTGTAAAGATATGCCTTAAAGCCTAATTTACATATAAAATGCTAATTTACTATAAAGATTTGCTATATGCCACTGTAGTATATTTGTTCTGCCTAAGTAGTTACCTGGTTTTTGGTAATCATTATTGCTTTGCTGGGGTCACTCTTACAATAGAATCGAACATGATCAATTGGATTCTTGTCTTGCATTCCATAATCCATGTTGATAACCTAAATAAAAGTAATAAATAAGTAATCATGTAACAACCAGGAGAACTGAACTCAGGGCTGAAGGGGCATCACAAGAAACTGAACAGAGGCTGAGTGAGGTGGCTCATGCCTGTAATCCCAACACTTTCAGAGACCAACGCAGGTGGGTCATGAGGTCAGGAGTTCGAGACCAGCCTGACCAACACAGTCAAAACCTATCTCTGCTAAAAATACAAAAATTAGTCAGGCGTGATGGTGGGTGCCTATAACTCCAGTTACTCGGGAAGCTGAGGCACAAGAATTGCTTGAACCTGGGAGGTAGAGGTTACAGTGAGCTGAGATCACGCCAATGCACTCCAGCCTGGGCAACAGATTGAGACTCTGCCTCTAAAAGTAAATAAGCAAATAAAATCCCAGTCCCCACAAACCATTCAGCCCCAGATTAAAGTTCAACAAATAATTATAAAAGTATTCAACCACATTTGTTATCAGAGTTACTAAGGAAAAGCACAGGGTGTTTTGAAATGTTCTAATAGGGTACCTGATGTAACCTAAGGTGCCAGGAGAATGACTGGAAACGATTTCCTGGGAAAGTGACTTTACTAAGTGAGCAAGAAAGAAGAGAAACAGGCTTAGGTGTGAAGAAAAAGAATTGCAGACAGAAGAAACAGCTCAGAGGCAGAGAGGACTGAAATTGTCTCCTGGGTTTAGCAACACTGAAGTCACTGGTGATCCTGGAGAGAGTATAGTGATGGCAACAGAAACAAGGTTCAGGAGAAAATGAGAAATACAAATTTAAGAGAAGGCAACTCTTAAAAGTTTGGCTGTTAAGAGGAAGCAAGATGTTAAAGAGAACAAAATTACAGCAACATAAGAGAAGTTAGCTGTAGGGTTCTATAGCACTGTAGGATGACTACATTTAACAGTAATCTTTTTTTTTTTTTTTTGAGACAGAGAGCCTTGCTCTGTCACCCAGGCTGGAGTCCAGTGTAATCTCAGCTCACTACAACCTCCACCTCCCTGGTTCAAGTGATTTTCCTGCCTCAGCCTCCTAAGTAGCTGGGATTACAGGCACCACCACACCTAGCTAGTTTTTGTATTTTCAGTAGAGATGGGGTTTCACCATGTTGGCCAGGCTGGTCTCAAACTCCTGGCCTCCAAGTGATCTGCCTGCTTCTGCCTCCCAAAGTGCTGGGATTACAGGCATGAGTCATCGTGACTGGCCCAGTTAATAGTCATCTATTACAGTTAAAAAAAATTTTTTTTGAGACAGAGTGCAGCTGCATATCACATTCTATGTTCATCACTTCTATGGAAGCTTGCAGTATTAGTTATCTCCTTCTTCTTTTTGACTTTCCCAGCAACAGTTAAATAGACTTTCATCTTAAGAAAATCACAGGTCAGACACTGAAGCTCACACCTGTAATTTCAGCACTCTGGAAGGCTGTGGAAGGCAGATCCCTTGAGCCCAAGAGTTTGATACTAGCCAGGGCAGCATGCGAAACACCATCTCTACCAAAAAACAAAAATTATCCAGGCGTGGTGGTGCACGCCTGTATTCCCAGCTACTTTGGAGGCTGAGGTGGGAAGATCACTTTAGCCCAGGAGGTGGAGGTTGCAGTGAGCTGAGATCACAGCACTGCACTCCAGCCTGGGTGACAGAGTGAGACCTTGTCTCAATAAAATCATGAACACCACACTCCTCTTCACCCCTCTCCTCTTTTTCAGGGTCAGACTCATCTTCTCTTACCTTTCTAAGGTACCAAATTCCTCTCCAGGTACTTCTTTCTTGCTGCCTTTTTTCCTTAATGTTTTTATTTTACTTACATCAACACACACACACACACACACACACACACACACACACACACACACATATATATGATTTATTTTTTAATTTATTTTAATTTTTTTAGACTAGTCAAGTGCAGTAGTGAGAAGGGGGGAAAGAATAGAACAAGGAGTTCAATCTATAACTGTGAATAATCAATTGAGATAACTCAGTACCTTCGGACCAGCCTATTTTATATATTTTTTAAATTGACAAATGATCATTGTCCATCTTCATGGGGTACATAGTGACGTGTTGATATACATAAATGTATGGTGATCAGATCAGAGTAATTAGCACATCCATCATCTCAAACATTTATCATTTCTCTGTGTTGGGAACATTCAATATCCTTTAAGCTATTTTTAAAACTATGTAATAGGCCAGGCATGGTGGCTCACACCTGTAATCCCAGCACTTTGGGAGTCTGAGGCAGGTGGATCAGGAGGTCAGGAGATCAAGACCATCCTGGCCAACGTGATGAAAGCCAGGCTCTACAAAAATACAAAAAATTAGTGAAGCGTGGTGGCGGGTACCTGTAGTCCCAGCTACTTGGAAGGCCGAGGTGGGAGAATCACTTGAACCCAGGAGGTAGAGGCTGCAGTGAGCTGAGACTGAGCCACTGCACTCCAGCCTGGCAATAGGGCTAGACTATGTCTCAAAAAACAAAACAAAACAAAAACAAATAAAAAAAGACCAAGCAATCAAACAAACAAAATGTTAAAAACAAAAATTAACCAAGTGTGGTGGCATGTGCCTATGGTCCCATCTACTTGGGAAGTTGAGGCAGGATGACTGCTTGAGACCAGGAAGTCGAGGCTGCAGCAAGCCATGATCATGCCACTGTACTTCAGCCTGGGACACAGTCAGAGACCCTGTCTCAAACCAAAGCTTAAACTAACATTAGCTGGGTGCAGTGGCTCATGCCTGTAATTCCAGCATTTTGGGAGGCTAAGGCAGGAAGACTGCTTGAGGCCAGGAGTTTGAGACCAGCCTGGACAACATAGTGAGACGCTGTCTATACAAAAAATTAAAAAATCAGCGGGGCATGGTGGCACGTGTCTGTAGTCCTAGCTACTCAGAAGGCTGAGATGGGAGGATAACTTGAGCCCAGGAGTTCAAGGTTATAATGATTGCATCTCTGTACTTCAGCCTGGGCAACAGGGTGAGACCCTGTCTCTAAAAAATAATTAACAGTAAATACAATAAAATTTAGTTACTCACTTACAGCAACCACATTTCAAGTGCTCAGCAGCTGCATGCAGTTAGTGGCCACAGAAAGGGACAACACTGACCAAGAATATCTCTGTCACTGCAAAAAGTTCTATTGGACAACACCTCTCTAGAACACAAGTAGAATTACCCTAAGCCTTTGACAAGAACAAAGATGTTTCCCCACTATGCAAATGGGAATACTGAATACAGTTGTCGATGGAGGCAGGCTTGTTTCTTTGATGAGAAAGGTCTAAGGAGTTGCTATCTAATGGCCTATAGTTTGTCTTGGAAATAAGAGCCAAAGGTTGGGTTATTCATGAGGATGAATACAGTTGGAGGTAGGAAGCATGGCTGGAGTTCTGAGAGGAGGGAGGATAGTCTGAAATGACGACAATGGTTATTATTAGTATTATTTTTTGAGATAGGGTCTTGCTCTGTTGCCCAGGCTGTAGTGCAGTGGCGTGATCTTGGCTCACTGCAACCTCTGCCTCCCAGGTTCTAGAGATTCTCCTGCCTCAGCCTCAGGAGTAGCTGGGATTACAGATATCTGCCATCATGCCTGGCTAATTTTTATATTTTTAGTAGAGATGGGGTTTCGCCATGTTGGCCAGGCTGGTCTCAAACTCCTGACCTCAGGTGATCTGCCCACCTCAGCCTCCCAAAGTGTGGAGATTATAGGCATCAGCCACCATGCCTGACCTGAAATGATTATTATAGAGATTGGGAGAATCGCACTAAGACTGCCAGAGGGCCCAGCTTAGTTTGGTGGACAGGAATTTATAGATATGCCTGTACAGTGATGATATCCAGGAGCATTTATGTGTCCAGGTGTAGGTGTGGAGATGTGTAGATTTAACTTATTTAGGTTGTTCAGCCTTCTGCCAGGTAGATGTAAAGAAGGAAAAGGGAGTTGAGAGTAACCGCAGAAAATGAGTGAATTACTACATCACAATATCTAAATTACTTTTTTATTTTGAGATGGAGTCTCACTCTGTCTCCCAGGCTGCAGTGCAGTGATGTGATCTTGGCTCACTGCAACCTCTGCTTGCTGGGTTCAGGTGATTCTCCTGCCTCAGCTTCCCAAGTAACTAGGATTACAGTTGCGCACCACCACACCCGGCTAATTTTTTGTATTTTTAGCAGAGATGGGGTTTTACCATGTTAGCCAGGCTGGTCTTGAACTCTGGACCTCAAGTGATTCACCTGCCTCAGCCTCTTAAAGTGCTGGAATTATAGGCCTGAGCCACTGCACCCAGTCTCCATTTGGAGAGAAATGAAGATAGAAGGCCACTGCCAAGCTGGAAGAAGTGAGGACACAATAAACTAGAGGTCCCAATGAGCTAAGAAAGTGTAGATGAGGAGGAAAGGGGTTACTGAACAGAGAAGAATATGTTTAAATTAGCTATTTTACTGGGAGGGCAGTTTTTTTTTAAGACAAAGTCTCACACTGTCGCCCAGGCTGGAGTGCAGTAGTGCAATCTTGGCTCATTGCAGCCTCCGCCTCCTGGGTTTAAGCAATTCTACTGCCTCAGCCTCCCAAGTAGCTGGGATTGCAGGCGCCTGCCACCACGTCCAGCTAATTTTTTATATTTTTAGTAGAGACGGGGGTTTCACTACATTGGTCAGGTTGGTCTTGAACTTCTGACCTTGTAAGCCACCCACCTTGGCCTCCCAAAAGTGCTGGGATTACAGGCATGAGCACGGCACCCGCCTGGGAATGCAGTTTTGAATGTTGGTAAGGTCCAGGGTCTCACTAGTCTCAAACTCCTGGCCTCAGGTGATCCTCCTACCTTGCCCTCCCAAGAGATAGGATTACAGGCATGCACGACCATGCCCAACCTGTACTGCTTTTTTTTTCCCCCGCCTATTACATTACAGAAATCTTTCTATGTTAAAAAAAAACTTTAATGTTTACATTATTTCACAGTATTTCCTACTGATAGACATATGTTTTCCTCCTAATTTTACACTACAATAATATAATAAAATACTTCTATTTTTTTTTCAAAGTTAATTATTTCCTTAGGACAAATTCCTAGAATGAAAATTGCTGGGTCAATTAACATTTTAGAACATACTTCTAATTTGGCCTTGTACCAATTTACACTTTTATTTTCACATACTATATTAACAGAATTTTATAATACTTTTGTTCTTACAAGTTTGATAGTAAAAAAATAATAATAATGTTCATCGCTCCATCAATTTCACTTAATGTCTTATTGATAAGGTTAAACTTCTTTTCATGTCTACTAGTAATAAGTATATTTCTTCCTATGTGTAGCTTCTTTGAGTACTTCTGATCCTACATCCTTTTGGAGATTGTACTTTTGAGAGAAAAACCAGATGGCAGCTGGAGGGACTGACCAGGACTGACTACTGCATTGAAGACAAGGGCAAACATGGCAGTGCCCAGGGCAAAACATTCTGGGGAGTGAAGTCTCTCAGAGTCTCAGGAAATTGAGACATGAGATCTCTTTACTCTAATGAAACCTCATTTAGTGAAACAAGAAACTGCAGCTTGATGTGAAGATCTGAGGTACTTCAAAATCAGCCAAGTTAACAGACAGTGAACCCGAGCGCAATTCACTCATAGTATCATTTGGCAAGGAATGGTTATGAAGAGATCATCCTTCACTTACAAATTTTTCAACAACAAAATAACAAATAAGAGATTTATGGGAAAAAACAGAAGGGGAACACTGCCCTGAGATTTCAGAGGAATAGAACTCCAAAAAGAATTTCCTATAGGAAACAAGAAAATGTGAGAAAGCTGTTTGGCATTCTCATTAGAACATGAAAAGACACTGTAGTCTCTATGAAAAGGGGAGTCCCTGGAATACTAGTATTTTGGGAGGCCAAAGTGAGAGGATCGCTTGAGCCCAGGAGTTTGAGACCATCCCAGGCAACATAGAGAGACTCTTCTCTACTGCGAGCCTGTCATCTCAGCTATTCAGGAGAGCTGTGGTGGGAGGATCACCTTAAGCCCAGAAGGTCAAGGCTCCAGTGACCCTTGATCCTGACACTGCACTCCAGCCTGGGCTACAGCAATCCTGTCTCAACAATAACAAAGTAAAAAAAGGCTTATATTGAAGGAAAAATATACACAAAAACAAAGAAGCAAACAACCCCACAACTTTTTCTTTTTTTGAGACAGAGTCTTGCTGTCACCCAGGCTGGAGTGCAGTGGTGTGATCTTGGCTCACTGCAACCTCTGCCTCCCAGGTTCAGGCGATTCTCCTGCCTCAGCCTCCTGAGTAGCTGGGACTATTCAGGTGCATGCCACCATGCCCAGCTAATTTTTGTGTTTTTAGTAGAGATGGGGTTTCACCATGTTGGCCAGGATGGTCTCGATTTCCTGACCTTCTGATCCACCCGCCTTGGCCTCCCAAAGTGCTGGGATTACAGGATGAGCCACTGTGGCTGGCTCTTTTTTTTTTTTTTCCTTTTTCTATTTTTTCTGGAGTAGAGTCTTACTCTGCTGCCCAGGCTGGAGTGCAGTGGCATGATCCTGGCTCATTGCAACCACTGCCTCCTGGGTTCAAGTGATCCTCCTACATCAGCCTCCAGAGTAGCTGGGACTACAGGTGTGTGCCACCACACCTGGCTTACTTTTTTGAATTTTTAGTAGAGACGGAGTTTTGCCATGTTGGCCAGGCTGGTCTTGAACTCCAGACTCAGGTAATCCACCATCTTGGCCTCCCAAACCGCTAGGATTACAGGTGTGAGTCATTGCACCTGGCCCCACAACTTTTTCCTTTGCGTTTGTATGCAGGCAATAAAAAAAATTAAAATGTATTACTTGTGTAATTAAAAAATTTTAATACAGACAACGTAATCACATAAATTTTTTTTTTGTGGTTAATAACATTGGTTCTCTTTGTGAGGCCACAGATGACTTCCTTCCTTCTATCTTTCTGTATTTTTCTAAGTTGTTATAATGAACATGCACTACTTTGATAATGGTGGGGTGCTTTATCTTTAAAAAATTATTCACTTATTACTGGACTAATTACTTACATCCACTATAAAATGTTCAGCCTTCAGCTTTACTTCTAGCGGTACTTTGGGTTTAGCATCAGCAACCTCTTTTGGAAGACATTCATAGCTCTCCTGGAAAACACAAGCCTCCCATGTTAGAATCCATTTTTCATCGTTAAGTGTTTGAGCTACGAACAGGTTTTCTTTATGAAAATGGCACCTAAGAAAAATGATTAGAGATATCCCTAACAAATACCAACGCCACCCTTTAAACAAATAGAGCAATTTCTGTGAAAAATTGTAAAAGGGAAAAAAAAATCACCAGGCATGGTGGCTCACGCATGTGATCCCAGCATTTTGGGAAGCTGAGGTGGGCAGATCACCTGAGGTTGAGAGTTCGAGACCAGCTCGACCAACATGGAGAAACACCATCTCTACTAAAAATACAAAATTAGCCAGGTGTGGTGGTGCATGCCTGTGATTCCCGCTAATCGGGAGGCTGAGGCAGGAGAATCACTTGAACCTGAGAGGTGGAGGTTGCAGTGAGCCAAGGTTATGCCATTGCACTCCAGCCTGGGCAACAAGAGTGAAACTCCATTTCAAAAAATAAATAAATAATAAATAAAAAACCAAACAAACAAAATTTACATTTAAAAAAAATGTGGCAATAACCTATTAGTACAAGAGGAAGTAAAGTATAACCCAAGAAATTACTGAGGTAGGGTGTGGTTATCAGTATGATTTGTGTTATGGCTTTCTGGCAAAGAGAAAATCCTTCACAAGTAGGAGGTGAAAATAGATATTTGACTTAAAGAAGACAGGTATGTGCCATCTGGGAGACTAATATCCTGTGAAGGAACCAAGTCATTGAAACAGGTCACCATAGCCTCAGTGAAGCTCATGTAGGCACTTTCTTTGAATCTACCCAAATCAGAGACCCACTCTCAATTCCTGAATGAGAGCAAAGATTTGGAGTTAAGTTAGACCTTGCTTTTGAATCCTGGCTAAACATGTTTTCATGAGCAAATTATTTAATCTTAGCAAAGTCTCAGTTTCTCTATCTGTAAAACAGGCCTAAGAACCCTACACTGTTGTGAAGATTAAATGAGAATTAAAGTAAAGCACTTAGTACAAAGTCATAGTATCATGATAGGTTAGTGGTTTCCTCTTGGAGGACAGAGATAACCTTTCACTAATGGAAAGATGCCTGATAACTCAACTCACCCTTTTAATCTTTATTTGTCCTGTTGGCTGGGTCTCACCCACATACTTGTATAAATTACGGTATTCAATACTTTTTAAAATCTCTTGTGCCGCCTTCAATTTGGGATCAGTAGAGTATAAAATCTCCAGAAAAATGTTATCTGCCAATTTGATGACATTTCAGTTATATTAAAATGAAAACACAGAGTTAAAGAGTTATACAGTGCTATGCTACTGAAATGTTCTTAACAGGCAGTTCACAAACATAGGTACATTATTATTTTAGCAATATAAGAAAATGTTTTAAAAGACTTAAGTGAAGGCCGGGCGCGGTGGCTCAAGCCTGTAATCCCAGCACTTTGGGAGGCCGAGGCGGGTGGATCACAAGGTCAAGAGATCGAGACCATCCTGGTCAACATGGAGAAACCCCGTCTCTACTAAAGCTACAAAACATTAGCTGGGCATGGTGGCGTGTGCCTGTAATCCCAGCTACTCAGGAGGCTGAGGCAGGAGAATTGCCTGAACCCAGGAGGCGGAGGTTGCGGTGAGCCGAGATT